GAAGGGCCCAAGTCGGCCGAAGCCCGGCCCGAGCTTGATGACTTGCCTCGCCTCGCGGTGCGAGGGAACGTCGCATCGCGTTAGCCGCTCCACTGAGTCCGACAAGTTACTCCAGAAAAAAAGTTTAACTTGGCCCTTCGACAAAGCTGAATTTTCTCGTGGAGTGAGATAGGTAGTAAGGCGTTTCATGAGTTATTGAGCAGTTCGGGATCCTTGATTAGGTCTACCCAACGGCCATTTCATGGTGTTGTTTGCATAATAATATTGAGGATTTTGGGAAGGGAGGGAACTAACATAAATACGTCGAAGGAAACCTACCAGGAGATATTTCATCGTGTAAGAATTATAAGACACTACAGTAAATTCAAACCTCTCTAGAAAACTGCATGAATGACACTTAATTGACTTTATTTCAAATTCTAAAACTTGTTAATCGACGACAAGTTCTTAGGAACGAGTTATGACTTTATTTGACAGCGGTTGTCATCGGTATTTTAATAAAAATTTAGGTAGAAATGAATCCATAGTGAAATTCGGCAACCAGAATTAAACACAGCGGTGGCACAACGCTCGTGGACAGGTGGTACGCACACATAACACCAATAAGGTGCTGTGATTTGCCAGAAAAGGCGCGGGTTCGACAGAAGAAAGTAAACATAAATGATGGTATTTAAAAGACGCAAGCATGTTACAGGAATAACTTTATTATCACTTGTACATAAAAGAAACATCTACAATGTAGCATGACCATACAGGCTTTTCTTTCACACTTTGCAATCACGGGGGAAAAACGAGAAATATTCTGGAGTTAATGTAGACCTTCGATTTTGATGATAGCACCATTCCTCTGGGCTTGCCAGAAAATCGACTCAGTCCATATGTCAGTTTGACAAGCAGTAGTCCAGCTACGTATACACACCACCGTGTAAGCATCGCCCACCGAGCACCGAGAATAGCGTCGATCCTCCCCTTACCTTGCCGCTGGGCGCGCGCTCAGCTCTACCACGCACTTAACGCCCACAACGACCATAAATAATATGCTACTTTTTGTTGCCATAAACCTAGTTAATTACATTTCCCCTCCTTTTTTCTCGCTGTGTTTTCTCGCTGCCAGCACCGACTAGGTTGACATGTTTTAGCCTGTGACATCGGCTGTAGGTAGAGTGGGGTAGTGAAAATACGTCTTCATCTTGAACATACAAAATATTAAGCTCCTGTACATTTTGAAATTAATTCAAGAACATCATATTACAACCCAGTTTCAAGACCTAAACTTTCCAAAACAAGTCAACATTTTTTGCCGTTTCTCTTTCCTTCCTAACCCAAGACAACAGACAAAATGAAGAAAATAAAGAGTTAAGATTGATTGAAAAAGTCATAGCGAACAAAAAACCCAATGCCTGCATTACTGATGGGAAATCGAATCTCATAATTGATCCTATATATGTAATTCCAAATATGTGCAAGGAGATACAAAATCTAAAATGCCTGAGTTTATTGAGACTGGTGCTTTATTACATTGTACTCAAGTCATAAACCGTGTAATGAGTAATAATTCCACACGTTTAAACACAAATGAAATTAAGGTTCCGCGCACTCAAGAAAAAAATGGATCAGAAATCTTGAGGCAATATGGCGAACTTCCTGTAAAGGAGTATCGGGTGTCTGTTAACGCACCCAGAGGGGATAGCTTTGACAATATCACGCACACGTCTATGGTAACACACCAGTCCTACGACAATTTTGCAATTAAATTTGCTCAGCGGAAAGTTGACAGGGAGTCTGCGAGGAATGGCGGTCTCGGGGCGGCAAATCTACGCTACTGAGATGCTCATCAAGGTATGCTTGCTCTGTGCTAATTTACTTGGCCGTCTTACATCTGTCTTGCCTTTGCTCTATTTTCATTTATTGTGCTCTGCTTCTGTTCTGCTCTCATACACTCACGGTCCTCTTTTAATTTGCTGTTGTTTGTATTGTCTTATTGTCTTATTTTTGCTTTGCCCTGTTTGGTTCCGTCCAGATATGTTCTGCTTTGCCGTGTTTGGTTCCGTCCAGTTATATTCTGCTTTTTCCATGTTTGGTTCCGTCCAGTTATGTTCTGCTTTGCCCTGTTTGGTTCCGTCCAGTTATATTCTGCTTTGCCCTGTTTGGTTCCGTCCAGTTATGTTCTGCTTTACCCTGTTTGGTTCCGTCCAGTTATGTTCTGCTTAGCCCTGTTTGGTTCCGTCCAGTTATGTTCTGCTTTGTCCTGCTAATATGTTCAGTTTCGGTCCAGCTCATCATTCTGCGCTTTAAGCAGAAGCGCCCCGTCATCGGTTGAAAAGAGCCGCTTTGGTCGGCAGCGTTCATTTTCTTGGGAGCAATGTGACCACACAACTGCATTTCCTAGTCCTTCGTGAACGAGCCAAGATCAGTTCTGACCAAAGGATTCTCCCTTGCTGAGAAAATGGCGCCCCTTCTTGGTCTAGTTCGAAGGCCATAGTTAAACACTACTCTGCTCTCAGACGAAACTGTGTTCTTATTCTAGTCTGCATCAGTCAGCTCTGCTATAATCTTTGCCCAGTTATGCTCCATTGAGTTCGTTCTTTTCTGCTTCACTCCAGCCATCTATTCAAACTTGTCTTTCTAGCGCTCTGTTCTGCGATACATTTCCCTGCTTCAACCTCGTAACCGACCACTACAGGTACCACACTCTAAACTATTCCATGCACTAATGGCTTACTTCAGTTCGTTCCACTCAAACAACAGTGCAGTCATCTATCGGTGTTAACAAAATTATAGAAAAGTCAACAAATAGCCCGATACTTATAGCAACATTCATATGGCAATGCTTTCCATATCGAGTGACGGACCTTTCTTATTTTGGTCAGAACAAGATTTATTACCCAACTACAATCAAAGAGATCCTAAACACAATAGCTGTGAAACAGCGCATGCCACCGGTACGAACATACAATGCAATGGTGGAACGGCGATATAATTATGTTTGTTTGTTCACAAGCAACCTTTTGAAAAGTAACAGCAATTTCCAGGCCGTACATTGTATCTCTGGGAAATTCCCACGGTGTTTCGAAAGAGTGGCTGATTTTTACGGTTGCCATGATTCCGAGCGAGCCATGTCCCTAGCAGGACAATTAACCTTAAACCAGGACAGAAAATGTTGGTGGGTTTTAAAAACTATCTGCACTGCATCTGTTGAAAAACAAGAACAGGTTGAGACTGTCGCTGAATCCCAAACAGTGAGACTTTAGGCAACGCTGGCGGCTGAAATCATACCCAAAAGACGTTTCCACTCTAGGCCTATGCTGAGAGTAATTTATAAAAAAGAAAGAGAATAAAGCCAAAAAGGCGCCCCCAGCGCCCGCAAATGGTCAGTCGAATTCATATCTTCCCCAAATAAACGCTTCCGGGGAAAGAAGTGTCACGAAGTCTTATAATTAACCTATCAAATAATCACTGACATTGTTATTAGTCATTCATTTCAAGCGAGGTTATTCCGTTTCCGGTATCATGGTTCCCAATTCAGACGTGCGATACGCACGTCCGATGTAATTATCGCCGAAGACAATATCGTAGTCGCCAGGTGGCGCTTTACAAGTCGCGCGTGTTTGTTTACCCACCCACCAATTATAGTATGAAGTCGCGCTAATTAATGGAAAATGGCCCACCCTGCTAAACGATAATTAATAGGAGATGACACGCTCGGAGATGTAAATTAGTGGACGCTCAAGGCTATTTATGACGATCTATCATTGGTTGCATGATTCTTATAGGAAAACGTCTGCACTGTGATAAGGTCTAGCTTAATGATTTAAAAATGCAGACGTTTGTAGGACTTGGAAAAAAGAACACGTCTAGATCAAAAAAGGTTTTTTTTCCTTTTATTGGTTCAGGAGGTGTGGAATACGCTGCTTGTCAGTGGAGCAGTTTAATGTGAAACAATCTTTTCTCTACTATAGATCTAATCTTTTCTCTTCTTTACCGTGTTTGGCTGCAGGTGGTTTTATTCTAATTTCCCCCTTTCGTTTTAAACATAAAGATGTACATGAATATCGATCGTCCTGAGCAAACAACGCTTTCATTTTGTTTGAACTCCTTGACTCTTGATCTCAAGGCGACGCCGCGAATCTCGAGTGGACATCTGCCGCGTTCGTCTCGGAAGTAGGGCGGGGAGAATAGACCCCCCCTCAGGGGAGACAGGACTGCGCGTCCCAGTCTGTAACGCGTCCAGTACCGCCACCCGGTATTATGAAGGATGCATTCATGGAAAAACTTTGACAAGGTCACACGACCGTTGCGATATCCTATAGTTGGAGGTGAGATAGGTTGCTCGGAGTAGCTCCCAATTATTTTTTGGGGGGGAGGGGCAGAACGGAAAACCGATGGAAAAATTCAAAGAGCGCCCTCAACCAACCCGAAACGAAACCACTCGGTGATATGATGCATATACACTGTAAACGGACAATCCCAAATCATCGGATCCCTCATAAAACAGCCGTATGCAAAAGCTCTACTCCACTCTCTCATCATGAAGCGCACGTAAGGCACAGTTGCACAACTTCACAGAGGAGAAATAAAAGAACCATTGGCTGTAGGATAGAAATTTTGCATGTTTTCAACTTCTCTTCTCCATGGTTAGGGGCCACTTCAGTTTGTCAAGCAGACAACTGGGTCCGTAAACACCAGACCAGCACGCCAATATTTCCGTTTTTGTAAGTCAACCCCATGCCCCGGGGAACCGTGTGGTATCAGATGACACTGCGTCGGTTAAACCGTTGGGGTTGTGGGGGGGGGGTTCACACTGTGCTTTCATGTGGTTAATCTCAATAAAATTCTAAATCTTGATAGTTTACAATGATTTATAACGTTTTAGCAACGTTTTCTCTCTTAACATGAAATTACTGTAAACGGAATGTTCCCAGCCAACTAACCCCTAAAACACCAACAGTAACTAGGACACAAAAACTGGTGTACAGAATCAAGACAAGAATGTCAAAGAGTTGAGGTAATCATTTTGTAGTCTTCATGCATGAAATTTGTAATTTCCATGCGAAGAGTTGAAAAGTAGAATAAAAATGACTTCGAGGGTGAGTTGAAAAAATATGCTTAGATAAAAATTCCATTTATTTGGACAAAATACAAAGAATACTGAACTACGAGTCTACCTTTAATAGACTTATTATGATTGATGTCTGCTGTAATGCTGATTTTAAAAGACAAGACATGTTTAATTGTGTATTTTCTGTGTCAATGTTTGCAAACATTCATTTAAAATAAAAACACATAAAAACAGTCCTGCTGACAATTTAGTGTAGATAATTTTGTACGTCTTACTTGTACCAAATATGGAACAAATACTCGGATAAATTACTTCACATTTCATCTTTTAGGAAAGATTCCTGTTTGTCATTCCAGTCCCATCAGTCAAGAATAACCCACTTCACATTTAAGTGGCAAATACACAAATGAAACATCATCAAAAGAGACTCAGAAAAATTTTGTCAGCTAAAAATGTGCATAGTATACATCCTGATCTAATTAGCAATCAATATTTGGAGAATCTGAATGGCCAAAGGGGGTGGAGAAAGTAGAACACATGGGGGGGGGAATGTAAAACAAACGGCCTTTAACAGCTTTGGGGTATGGCCCTACTCACTGGGAAACTGAAGACATTGACATACTCCAAGAGGATACAAAAGGAATGCTCATCTTCTAAGAATAAACTCTCCACTGAGGATAATGTTTGGGGGGTTGGACAATGCTTACAGGTTGAGACTTGTTTGTGCAAAGTGAAGAACGCATTTAAGTGAAACAGGCACAGCTGAATAGACACTTCGGCTAACAGGTGGTGGAGACCTGCTTCTGAGACAAAGTTTCAAAGAACACAGGTCAAGGGTGAGGGAGTGACTCACCTATCAGGGTGGGGGGGGGTTCTTGGTCACCTGCTGGCAGGGTGTGGGGCCAGGTAGCCTCTCCGTTCCCACGGCCACACCTTGATATTTCAACATATGGCAGAACAGAAGCAAGAAATTGTGATCAAACATCTAAGAATTCTAGGATCAGTGAATGACAGTGACTAGAGCAATGACTTCAGTACCATACGCTATGGACTGCAGCTTAGGGCTGGAAATGAATTGAATTTGCACACATCACACATATCCAGGCAGTTTACATGGCGAACCAAGTTTTCTTACTTTCCAAATGCATGGCCCAGGTTTGAATCCGATCCACGCTGACACAAAGGACCTCATCTCCTCCAATTCTGAGGGTTTCTCCACATGCATGTACACAGTTCAGGGTTTATGAAACAGTCCTCAATCTTCCGATTTTAATCCCTTTGTTTCATGCATCCAACGGTCACTCAAACTACTAAAACAGCTTCGTCTTTATCCAACTGTTTTTCAGGATTTTTTTCTGATGCTTTGGTTGAGTGACGAAAACCAACAAAGGGAAAGAACTCGCGGCTACTGACCCTCAAGACAGCACGGCCTCTCACCATGGCTAACGGGACTGGACCAAACTCCCTTGAATCGGTCGAGTTGGTTCTGTTGTCACCCTCGATCCATATGTGACCTTTGGGAACCTGCAAGAAGAACAGACATGATCATACATGGTCTTCCATACTGGAGGAAATGCAACGCCTCAGTTTAATCTATCAGGAAGACGTGCAAAGAATGAGAAATCCTAGATAATGGATTCCAAATTTACACGGATTGTATGAGCACTCAGAAAAAAGATGCGACTAATCATGGTTTACGAGACATGTATTTCCTTTAGAAAGCTTTGCATAGCTCAACAATGCCGGTGTGTTTACAGACTTATCTAACCACAAGACTTCCTACAACCAAGTTATCTCTTTTAGATATTTTAAAGGACAGGTACTCAATTGTGTTCACTTTGAGAAAGTCTGTGCTCACTGAGTTTCACACAACAGCACTGAAGTTATTGAAAAGTAGACATATAGAGGGCAATCCTTATGTTAAGATGTCTATTTTGACAAACCTGGGGCTTGTCCGTTAGAATCTGCTCCACTCTGAGTGGGAACAAAAAAGGGCATGTTTTCAAATGAAATTGACAGTCCTTTGGTTCAAATTCGCTGCATAGGCATGCAGTTTTATGCGCGTTTACTGGGGAGCACGGTTAGAAAACTTTGTACACTACCAGTCTGTCATTCTTTCAACGGTGAGGGTGCACTTCAACTCAGAGAGGACTGGAGTACAAAGAAAAATATGACTCACATTTTTGGTTCGCAAGAACTTCCAGCGATTGACTGGTACCTCATCAAACTCCATACCAACCACTCGCTTGCATAAGAACTGTTTCGGATCCACGGGTGACCTCAAGACAACCACATCGCCCCTGAAATGAAGAGAAAAAGTGGATAAAGGTCAGAGGGATCAGTAGGCGGGGAAATCCATCTCATATACGGATTTTGTGGAAGATGTTGAACTTTTACAGCATCTTGACAGGAACTAGGAAAACGAAAAACGATCAAGGCCATTAGCTGATACTCACTTATCGACTTTGTTGAAGAATTTTGTACTTATATGCTCAGTCAGAACAATGTCATTATTTTCAATGGTCGGTTGCATGGATGGCCCTGTGCACTGTGTCATAAAAATATAAATGTTATGATGCTGATTAAAAAAAGCAGACAAAATCATTGTTATATTAGAATTCAACCATTAAAGTAAATCATGATTTGTAATTTCTGCTTCACTTAAAATCACAACATGTATACATACTCAATTGTGTTCTACCATACCATAAAGGATGAGCTTTGTTTTCCACAGGCAAAAATAAGGAAAAATCTTGAACTCTTGGCCTTTGTATTTGCTGTGTTTGTTACACTACGAATAAGACAATTAGACAGAACGAACTCTGATAAATAACAAGTGCATGCTGAATGATGTAGGTGATGTTGGAGCCACAACACCAAACCAGTTCAACATTGTTGCCAAAGTTGTCTGTGGCCGTCTTCCGATTTCTACAAAAAATTCCTTCGATTGAATTTCATCCACCCTAGGTCCACATATGCATGAGCCACAGTTCGTCTTCAAGCTTCATCATTTTCGCTGCTGCCCTCTGAGGTCCCATCCCAAGGCCCTACCTAAAAATACTACAACCCAACCTAAAATACTGCCCTCGTGCGATACTGCTAAAGGAATATCATTAGCTCCTCTCACCTTGGTGAAGTCCAAGGCATATTCAGTGATGCAGTGAGCGGTGCAGTACAAGATAGCTGAATAGGCTCCAATTCGACCCACAAGTTTTCCACTCAATTGTAGACACTTCCTGGCTGTGCTTGCCATTTAGATAGTAAGCTGTAATGAACTGCCTCAAAACTGTGGGAAATCCCTAAGAAACATTGATGAAATTCAAATCAGTCTTACATGTAAAACCATTTGTCTGTACTTAATCTTAGTCTTTTGTTGAAACTTCAGTTGTACCGTAACATGTAAAGAGCCAATACACCTTATTAACACAAAACCAGTGGTGTAGCCACAGGGGGCCCGAGGGGGTCACATCCCCCCCCCACGCATTCCCAATGCCCCCTCCCCCCGGTGCCCCCCACTGAGAAAAATGAATGAATGGATATTGATAAAGTTTAACAAAAACTTGCCCCCAAAACCACGCCACTGAAAGCTGGTGCCCCCCACACTAGTAAAAACCTAGCTATGCCACTGCACAGTCCGAATAACTTGGACCCTACAAATTGCCTTTTTTAACGTGTCCAAATGTTAAAAAAGGCTAACCACTGCACAAAACATCTGTGTTGTATGACCAACAAACACATTCCATCATCCATGGGGCTAATCTTGGAAAAAATGTTGCATCCTGACTCCACTTTTCTCATCATATATCACCTCAATAAAAGTCAATCATTACAAAAATGCTGGACAGACACGAATTCTGGACTGCGAAACTTTTCCTATGTATCATTGTCGGTAAAATATTCTTCACTTCCCATAGACTTTGTACACAACCATGACAACTGCTGAAGTGGAGTCAGGACGCAACATTTTTTCCCCCAACTATGTCGTGGACACAGTTGACATGGTTGGGCATGTGACAAACATGAAAAGTCAGTGTCATGTCAAACATGTCCAACTCAGTGTAGGCCTAACTAAGTTAGCCTAAGTGACAATGTGCTCAAGTTAAAAGCATTAAAGTCATTGAAAGTGAGAGCCACCGTGAGACAAAGTTGGGGCAATTATTTTTTAACAATAAAACAAACTAATAATTTCAAAAAGCACTTCGTAAATAAGAAAAACCAACATAATTTACTTACATACAGAGAACGAGAACGAATTAAAAAGGCAACTTGACAACAAATTCAGGCCTCTACGTCACTACAACCTTACAAGTTACACGAAACACTGTCTTCCGCTTATGCTCTTGTTGGAGACAAAATACTTGTTCCGGTTTACACAAATTATTTTGGAAAGCACGCCCTCTCGTGGCAACAAATTATTCTTAAACGAATAGTACCTTTCTGACAAATGATGTAAGCAGCTAGCAGCGCCAGCCCACTGCATGCCCCCTTTCAATGTGACGTCATACAAACCGCGTCAAATGTGGTCATTTACAAAACCCGCTCTATTAGAAAATGTTAATATAAAACGTCCAGAGAAATAATAACCTCAATAAAGATTAAATCTGTTTAAACTCCGAATAGTCATTCGAATTGCAAGAACACATAATTCTCTTGTTTATTCCATGCAGTTTATTTAGCTAATCTGTCTGGTAATTCATTTAATTCGTGCAGTTTTTCTTTACTAATCTGAATATTTTTTTAACTGGACTGCTCCTTTAAGTTACCCAACTTCCGGGTTCCCTGGATGAATTGACCCCTCGACCCACGTGCTTGCTTGTTGTATTCGCTAGAAACAGCAGGTTTGTACTTTGTAAGCTTTTCCGAGAATCGCCGTTCTTTGAACGCTAAATATAGCCAGAATGCCAGCTAAATCGTGTAAGTGGTTGTCTGATATCTGGATCTGGGGAAGTGATGAAGTACGGAGGCGGAACTTGGATGGGAAAAGTCGGCTTCGAGCCGTCACCAACGATCACAGTAATGTTTGCGTGATGTTCGGTGGCGGGGGATTTTTTTCCATTTTACCGCGTCACGGTTGGACGGTGTCGTGGGACAACTGAGCTATTTTCGCGGGGAGTGTTGAGTTGTGCACAGGGTGGCTAATCGGCTCTTGAGAATTTCTCTGAGTAGTTGACGAGGTTGGGCAGTTGATAAGGTTAGTGGATGGATAAACTGTGTACCGAGTTGCATATTACCTTCCATTCTCCAGTTTGTAGTATGATTGTTTTTAAAGTTTTGTTTGGAATATTATCTGTGAATTTTTTGGTCGTTTTGAAATGTTGAAAGAAAACTTTTTTGGTCGCCTTTTGTATAATCTCTTTTCCCTGTAACACTAGGATTTCCAATTCTGAATTTGAAAGATAAGAGGCAAACAAGTTTAGAATTGCTGCTTAAATGGAGTTAATAACCATATGTGGGGTTTAACTTTATAATTAAAAACAAGGTGAAACAATATGCCCATTGATCATTATTGTAATCTGTTCCTTGATGTGTGAAAAATTTGGCAGAGAGTTCCACATCCAGCCGTAATGATTTTTGACTTTGACAAAAACCAAGCAAGTTTGAGAAGGGGTCAGATGTACTCTTGCCATTACTCCTTTTGTACAGAACCCATTCACTTTGCTAGAATACCCCCAAAATTAAACACATCCCATTTTGGACTTGTTGATGTTTTGTACCAAACTCGGTAATCCTGGAGGCCAGGTGCATCTATCTCTTTCTGTTGTTTGAGCATGCGTCTAAAAGAGGGCCTGACATATTTATCCTTACAGAATCTTACTTCTGCTTTCGAGTATCCTGCTTTCAATCTTTTCATACCATTCTGTGGTATATTTCAGGCCACTCTACTCAGCAAGTGTTTGTTTGTAAGCAGTCTTTTTGTATTGTTCACATTTATTTGAGTATGCATAGTTGTACACGTTTCTGAAGCCATGAAAATGCCAAAGTCCAAACTAGTCTCTTTTTCTAATCCTTTATCGCCTTTGTTGTTTAGAGGTTTGGTCGATAAATAAAGATAGAAATATTGGATGTGCTTGAAATTTTCAGAAAATAGTACTTCTCCACATTTTCTTTGATAAAGATTTCGAAATTACCTGCTACATGTAGTTACCCCTAAATGAAAAGCTTGCGTCTCCGTCTTCTCTGCCCGTTTCTTGACTCGGCAAAATTGTTGTAGATATTTACAAAAATAAATACTAAGGAAATGCGGCCTTCTACGGGGATGTTCACCGTAAGGAGCAAACACTGCCAAGCCGAATCCTACCCCCACATCCAGACACAACTACAAAATAAAATGGCTGCTAGTTGAATACAGTAGTGGACCAGTGGCTTCTTGAAATAAATCTCAAATCTTGAAGCTTTGCTGCACAGCGAAGGAGTGAGAGGCATGCTGCAAGCGCTGAAGCTTTTTATACTGCTTTTCTCAATGGAGTGCCCTGCCCTTTCCATTGAATTTAATTATAAAGGCTGTAGATTTGGACAATGATAGGATTATCAGGGCAGGAGTGCAGACAGCTGTTCCGGAATTCACTACAGGTTGTTTGGGCTTGCAGAGATGAAAAAACCTGTTCTCTTTTAACAATTGGAAGTCAGAAAATGTCCTGCTTTTTGCCATCTTTTCTGTGACAATAATTCACCGATCTTTTTGTTAATCTGCACCTTTTCAGTTCTACATGTATGTTGCCTGTTGGTTGATCTTCTATTGATTTCTTTCCTCTACAGAGTTAAAATGCAAAAAGTTGTGTTTTTAGGGGGACAGGGGCCAAACATTGTGGAACCTTTTGTGACCTTTTGTCACCTTTCTTAAAAGAAGGGAAAGGAGATGTACCAAATTAAAATCACATTTCTCTTATTTTTCACTAACAAAAATTGGGGGGCTCTTGGGAGGGCCATGGCTTGAGTTGCTCCCTCCCATAAGCCTTTTGTGAGTTAAATTTGAATAAAATCTGGTGCACTGAGTTCTTAATATTCATGTGAACGTAACAATTTGAATTCTCCATACTAAATCCACTAATGCTATACCTTGTGATTCGGGGCAAACTTTGTTTAGTTACACAAGAGATGACTTGCACCAGTACATTGTTTTTAATGGATAAGGAGGGCATAAAGGAACCAGTCCATTCCAGAGATGGTGGTCACTATGCGAAAGCTTGCCCCGAATCACGAGGTATAGCAACAGTGTCTTTAGTCTGGGGAATTTAAATTGTTATGTTTATGTACAATCAGATAACTCGGTGTACCAGATTTATTCAAATTTAACTCACAAAAGGCTTACCCACCCTTGGTCTTAAAGAATTGGCTTAAAGTCGAATAATTGCTGCATTGGATAAGTAAAAAAAAAGTCAAACTCGGATTTTAAATCTTGTAGCAGGCAGGGTTTCATTGAAGGATGAAGTACGGTAGCCACATTCCTCCTAGTTGGTGTACCTTACCGGTTCATCATTCATTAGAGTGATTCCTAAACAAAGTAGGATCTGAGCATTCAGCATTTACTGCAAGGCCATGATTCACGGCATTTGTTTAGTCAGAATCAGCAGGTCAAACACAAGGCATCATTCAAAAGCAGTAGTGACTCGTTAAATTTTGTAAGGAAGCACGGAATCTCTAAAATTGAGACAAGTTCAATCAATGACCAGAGGTTGACTAATTCTGATTGAATGCACACTAGTCGACGATAGTTGGACTAGTCTAGTCAGCTATTTGTGACCAGCCTACCGAGGTTGGTCGCATCGTTGGTTGCTGTAAATCTTTCTTTATAGCACAGCGAAGAGAGGACCAGTTGTAAGAACAATGCCGGAAAGACATTAGGCCAGTAACAAATGACCATTTTCACTTTAATTTTTGGTATTTTGCCCTATCTGTGGCCACCTTTTCTCCCCGTTGGCCTAACGACCTGACAACGGTCGACTGCATGTACATGTAGTGTCTTTCATGCTTTAACGTCACTGCACATGCGCTGGGTACCAGTACTCACGGAGTAACCACTAATTAACTTGTGGTCCTTGATAGAACTTGCCCTTGGTTGTAACTGTCCTCATGACAGGTGGGCAGGTGGCTAGTTGAGGCATTGCTCTCAGGAGAGACCTTTGCTCACACTGTAATATCTATCTATGTAGACTGGTTGCATTGAACTAGAAGTCAGAGACTGAAGTTTCATTCAGTTTGGTTTGTTTAAGTGAAAAAGGTTTCAAAGGACATTGAAACTATGCCAAGTTTGTAGGAAGAGCATTATCATTGTATCTTTTTGATCCACGGAAGTGAAATGGGGGTGTAGTGAGTAACACCCACCTGATCTACATGCATTTGATTTAACCGGTATAAATCTATGGAGCCAATTAAATCTTCCAATATTTCCCTTCTCAAAGTCAACACTCACGTTGTGCCATTGGAAGAACTTGGTCCAAATTCAGTATTCAATTCCATGAACTTGTACAGTTACTTGACTAACACAATCCACTGAGTAATCCTGTCTTCCAGGCCACAACTTACTTCCGCAGGAAAAGTGGTGCAGTCCCAATCTTTTGAATTCCTCCCCACCCCCATCAGGAAGTGGAAGAGTCTTGTAGGTGCTTTTGAGGGGGAATCCCCATCTGCATTCCCAGTTCTGTTTATTTGTTCTGACCATAATCACTATTATCAAGTCATGAAAGACTTGTGAGGTATTAGGTGAATGAGTTGTTTGGCTGACCTTAAGAAGACTGCAGGTAGATTCAAGCGTATGCAGCAAGAAATTAGAATTCATCCATCCTTTACCACATCTGCATTTTTTGAAGGGTCAACTGTTCTCAGAATATTTATTTTTCATTCTCTGAGCAATTCAATTTTTTTTCAAATTTTAAATCATTTGCTGAACTGAACAGTGACACAGAACGTTTTGTTGATGTAACAGGTTGCATAAATTTATAAATGCCATTTTGTGTACTTTCAATTTAAATTTCACAGTAAGATTTCCATAAATAAAAAATCAATAATTTCAAACGCATTATTAATCGGAATAATTAAATTAGTCCGTCCTGCTTTCTGGCTGTTGCGTCTACTCATGAAGACTTTGAGAACAAGAGCTGAGTCAATTTGAAAAATTCACTTTTTGAATATTCGACCCTCAGTCCGATCAAATATCCAGAAACCACTGGCTGGCAGATTGTTGATGATTACACCATATACAAGTACAAAATCAGTTGCAATAATGCACGCATTATGATCACAATAATACATAGTAGCTCCTCACTTCTAGTACTGTCTCCAGCCATGATTTAGCAAGATTTATGAGAAACAAACAGTACTCCTTGCCCTGTTGAAAATTTCCGTTGAAAATTGTATAGCCCCCGCCACAGTCCTAAATTCTCCAATTTCAATATGATTTTACATACACGCTGGGGGTTAGGAATAATTTTTGAGTTGTAAGATTTCTGTTGCTTATCATTTGAGCTTGGTTGAAACAAGCCTCTATAGTGCAGTTTTTCTCATTTAAATCCAAAGAAAATTCTCTCATTCTTTTTATGAATTTTACATTTAAATATTCAAATTTGAAAAATGACATTCGAATATTTGACAATTTATTTTTGAATACTTTGTACAGCCCTAATGAGAACAGTATTTTGAGATTTGTAAAATCAAATTAAAGAGACCAAGGTGACATGAGCTTTTAAAAGACCCTCAAATATCATTCTGGGCCCTCCAAGAAATCCAAATAAAACAAATAAAAAACGCGAGAGACAAGTTCTGAAGTGAAGTTGTGTTGTAATCAAGTACATTGCTCCCCGCCATCCAAAAAGTCTTATTTTCCCAAGCTGTTCAAACCATTTTGCATTTTTTAAAAATCGAGTCCAAATTTCTGTTGCATGAATTGGTGAAAGCCTTTTCTTTTGACGACCTATATTAAAATTACGACGAATTTGATGTAAAATCGAAAACAAGTTAAAGTGATATTTTGGTAGCCCATGCAAGTTGTAGGCAAAATGAGAGTGGTAGTAAAGTAGAAGGAACATGCTAAATGCTTAAAATTGAAAACAAAAAATCAGTTTTGAGCTGGAGAGATAATTTGCATCTTACAGATATTTTAATCTTCTCATACTTGTCAATTTTTAGACAAGATACACCCCCAAGATTTGTGTTGCCATGGAAAGAGCGACTTCTCCAGCTTCCTACCAACGGAACCCCAACCCCACCATAGCCTTCCAGCCTCATGCCCTTGTTTGGGACTTTGGCTGGACCACCAATGGCCACTTTGCTCCGAAACAAGCAGCAGGATTGCATGTTGGCCAGCCCACTGTACATACATGTAGCCCAACTGTGCCTGGTACCCATGCCCATTCACCGGCTAGCAAAGGTGCATCTCCACAACCAGCTGTCTTTACATTCAACACCTGTCCATCAACACTTGCAGGTATGGCTACTGTACATGTGTACACCTATTTTTGCCAAGACCATTTGACCTCATGGGTTAGCATTCAGAAAAATTTGTCATTATTCTATCACGTTACTTATAAATCTAAGAGAATCCATGATCAACCAACCACGGGAAGCTTGTGGAGTTGTCCTGAATCAAAGGCCCGTGGCTAGGCTACATGTATATGCCATGCTTTATCACACTAAATTTAAATAAACAATTTCTTCAAAGTTCAGTATGGCAAGAAATTTGGCTCGGCAAATTACACTTGGCATGGCAAGCCTCTGTACTTGACAGGGTATGCCACGCTATCAGTGTTCGGAACAGTAATTGCCTGACAGTTTTCTATTAACCTCAATGTTTAGCGCAATTGCTGTGCTATTGCAGTGCTGTTGTTATGCCCAACAATCCTGAATCCTACAATTTCAATTTGATTTTACACACACCCTAGTCAAGAAATAGTGACTGTTGTTGAAAGAAACAAACACTAGTTCTTTGTTGTTGTGATTTTGACCCTAAAATTTGAGTTTTGTCAACTTTGTGAAAAGTAATAAAGTTTAATATCTTATTGAAAGTCTGAGTGTGGTGTGAAAAAATCTCTACCGTTTACTCTCAAAGTCTTACTCAATGCTAAAGCTCACAACGTTAAAGCTAACACATACAGTGTACCATGTACATGTAGACTTTTGCTGTCGGATCAGATACCTATTTCAAAATTTGAAAGTGAAAGAGGGGCTCTACCTCAAAAATAAATAATTTATAAAAACAATTTTTTAAAGAGTGCAAACAAAAGAAAACACAACCTGAGGCGGGTCATAAAGCGGGTGGAAGAAGCAGGTTCCAAAAAAAAGTGTGCAATTGTTTCAGTAGATTCCTTTGCAGTTTCATGGTTTCAGTATCCTGTGAAACCAAAGTCATGTTTGTCTTCGTTCTCGTGTTGTTGGCATAGTATGGGCAATAACATCACAAATGTGTATCCAATGTGCAGCTTCCAGTTTCAGGTACAGCTAGATAAAGGATGTGAGATTTAAACGGTGCCAGAAAAAAAAAATGAAATCGTTTTCCTCATTTGGTAAACCATAAATGGAGGTACGTTTCTTTTGGAAACTGCTGAGAGCAATATAGAGGACTTTCAGTCACATGAGATTGAGGGTCAGCGTTCAATTTAGGCCTACACAGATGTGCTCAGAAACATGCGTGCCTTTGAAGTCTCTCAACATTCTTGTGTACATGAAATTGCCAAAAGAAATATCCAGACAAAGTAGGCTTCCTGAAATGCCTTGCCCATCATGCTACATGTACATGGACCAGTATGTCACATGAAAAACCTTGATCGAGGTTATGAACAAAAATGACATATTGTCAGCACTCCTTATTAATAGATTTACATTTGCTGACTACATAATTCAAAGACATTTGCTTTCAGTTCTAAGACTCCATTGTACAATACATGTAAATTGGTACATAGAAAGCACAGGTTGTGGGCCTGCCATCCTTTTTGACACATGATTGAGAAGGAGTCCTTTATGCGGGGATTTTGGCTTGAGGGAGGCAAAGGAGTCACTCTCTGCACCCCTCCTGCACCTCTCTCTGCACCCCTCCTGCACCTCTCTCTGCACCTCTCTCTGCACCCCTCCTGCACCTCTCTCTGCACCTCTCTCTCCACCCCTCCTGCACCTCTCTCTGCACCTCTCTCTGCACCCCT